ACAGGTGACTTGGCTTCCTTCAACTTGGCTTCCAACATCCTCAACTTTTTCAATTTGCGCGACTTCACATGTTTCACCGGGGTCTGGAGTGGTGATTTGTCCTTTGGCAAAGGGCTGGGGGTCACAGGTGCATCCATCAGAGTTTCATCAACAGCAGTTTCCTTCACTTGCTTGGGTTTCTTTTCATTGTCCTTCTTCCCCGTATCTGACTTGCTAGCTGCTTTCGGTTTCCGTCCCTTCTTTGCAGCTGCCTTTTCAGCCAACTTTGCTTCCTTTGCTTCAGCCTTTGCTTGTTTTGTTGCTTCTTTCTCAGCTTTCTTCAGTTCACGTTCTTTCTTTCTTTCTGCTCGCTTCTCCTTTTGCACAGCCTTCATTCTAAATTGTTTTCGCCTTGTGATGGTTTCATGGTCTGGGATGTCAAACTCCTCGGGATCACGGGTCTCTGTGGTGGTGGCTGCTTTGCTGTTTGGACAGTCAGCCTGCAGGGTCAAGAATGTATATAATAAGTCATCTAAGTTTATATATGTTTATAAGTCATGGTCTTTTAACATGCGAAAGCTCATGATACGACAACACATATCCCCATGCAATCAATTCATGAGAAATCAATCACCAGTCTTATATAACCTGGCATGATTCTGCATGCAACAATGGATCAAACAGATATTCAAAAACAACTTTATATATTATAATGTCTTTGTCTCGACCTGCATAATACCCAACCTGCTTTTCCACCTCATGTTGCAGGTCATCTTCATGCTGATGTGCTTTCTGGATGGTTGCCAAGGCCACATCTGTAGTGGGCAATTGGTTGGGCGAACATGGAAGTTGTGTTTCCAGGCAGTCCGTTCCAAATGGCACCTGGGAATCTGAAACCACCATGATAGGACCAGCAGGTACAGGCTCACATACCATCGCAAAGCCTTAGGCTGTCTGCATGGCAGAACATCATGCATGCAGTATATAAAAAGAATATAGTGGCTGAGGGGGTGTCCCATGTAAACGTCGGAATGTATATAATTATATATGAATTGGACATTCAGCCTTCCATCACATCCATTGCTTTGTTTGGGATCCCCATCGAGTACCAAGTGGTGAACCCCCCAAGTCGCAGTCTAGAAGCCACTTGGATCAGCAGCCAGAGCTGGCTCTTTGGCTGGACACTGGTTCTCTGGAGGGCTCGATGGAGAATTCAACCTTGGCAATCTTGAAAATTATTTAAGTGCATGCCTTTTGGGACTAATACAATTTTTCTTATATATATGGGATCTCGATGATGTATAAGAATTTATCATGGTTCTATATTTGCAACGTGGGTTTATATATGCGTGGGACTGATATATTCATGCATGGGGACCCAGTGGTGCAAATTACTATTTGCTGCGTACTGCATGTATATATAGCCATGCACATCTTGGACATTCAAAAACCTTGAACTATCATGAATTATCATAGTTGATATTCACACAACTTTTGGACATGACACTGCATGTGAACAGGTTTGATTAAGTTTAGCCAATTGCATGCATAAGCAACTGCATGGATTTGAAAGCTTCGAGTGCCCCCATGATTTGCTCATAATCCACTTTGGCCGGCTCCACTGCTTGAATCTCTTCATCCGAAGAAATGTCAAAGCATCCAAGATCCTGACAACGTATTTTTTAAATATATTTATATATAATTTATTGTATAGATGCATGCATGCATATGCTATTTTTTAGGGGGTACTCATCGAGGTGTTAACCTATCTCATCCCAATCAACACATTTGCTGTCAACTTTTGATATATGAATGGTCCTCATAGGCTTGTAGCATCCTCAAAGTAGCTTCCATTCGAGCAGGTTTGGGTGTAGATCTCCCAGATGAAGGATTTGAACCCACACCAGTACTAGCCACCGATGCTGTATGGTTTCCCTCTGCCAGGATGGGTGGTTCACGAATCTCCGGAGCAGGGGTCCCAGCAATGGGTTCACTGGCCTGATGTTTGCTAAGCTCTTCCTCCAAGCCCTTTTGAAACTCTGCGCATGGGCTTTTGGGAGCAGGGTCCACTGTGGCATGAACTGGGGAATCCGGGAAAGCAAGTACTTGGCTCAGAATCGGTTCATTACTCACAGGCAAGGGGTCAGGCTTTTCAGTATCCTGTGAATCTTCGGCCTCATCTGAAGGTCTAGTCACGGGTTGCCAGTCCTGCGTAAATGTCAATCATGCTTGACCTTTCAGTAAAAGGGTCAACATCTATACCAAATGGTCACAATTGTCACTGCATGATTGTTCTTTTGTTTGGCACGGTGAATCAAACTTTATATATTCAATGTTTGGGAATTGGTGCACGTATATAATTTAAAAGGATGTATGGGTGGTTGAAAGTTGCAGTGAACAATATACATCATGTAGTTGAAAACATGCATAAAATAACCATTGCTTTGCAATATTCTTGAGACTGTAATTTGGTTTGGTTTGTCTTCCAATCAACCATGGATGGGCCATACTGTGGTTATGAAAGGTAATGGACACCTTCTCCACAAGAACTATTCTATCTATTTTTCATGCATATGAAAAGGAGATTTGGTGCATGCATGCATTTAAATATATCGATCTGTTCATGGACCAACCCCCGCAAGTCCTTCATGTCAAATCCCAGAGCGCGCACAAGGTCAGCCATGGCAGGGTCCTGCACAGCGCTGGATTCAGGACCTTTGGGGCCAGAAGGAATCTGCTTTTGTTTATATGGCCATGTCATTATAATGGACATTGTATGAATGAAACATCAATGTATTTATATATATATTTATATATATATATATAATGATAATTATATGTATATATACCATTTTGATCAAAGAAACCCATCACCCATCAATTACAGTTTTTAATGACCCAATTTTTGGACAAGCCATGCAACCATGTACAGTCCTCAGGGGGAGCTTTCCTGTAGACATGCCTTTTGAGCTTTCCGATTAAACGGCGAATTGCCCAGGCTTCATGGTAGGCCTTCTCATGACCAATGTGCCTCTTTGCCAAAACATAGTATTCCTCTATGGCCAAGATGAGTCGGTCTATGGCAGGGAGCAATAGTCCATTCTCACACATCTTTTGGGCAATAGGACGGAGTACACAAGAATTGAGCTTGACATGCTGGCTGGTTGCTGTGACAAAGTCATTTGACACGTTCCCATCATTATCATATGCCACAACCAGATTCTTGTCATGTCGCATCCGCTGACGGATGTCTGAGGACTGATCCCATTCACCTGGAAGGTCAGATAGGTCATAGTTTCCCACAAGCCCTTTTCCACCCTGCTTCCCGCAACCAACTGCACCTTGGGGTTCATCCCTGGTGTCTCGCCCTTCCTCCCTGTCCCATGAGCTTCCTCGGCTCCCACCACGAGAATTAGAAGCTCCGGAACTAGAAGGTCTCTCAGGCCTGGAGCGACCCCCCTTGGACTTTGCTGCTGTAGCCTTTGATCTCGCCATGTAGTCAAAAGGGAATTCTGCACTGGGAGCCCAAATGGGATCTGCGCAGGACGGCAAAGATTTGCTGAGTGAGATGACCTGAGGTGCGACCTTGATGCAATATCAATCCAAATCACTCCCATGATATATAATTATTCATTAACTTGCATGATGTATGGTTCCAAGTCAAAGGTTTGTTTTGTTGCTGATCTCAATCCATGCATGCCCAAATAATGAAGAGGATCGTCACAAACTCTGTGCATGTATTCATGCATGTAAGTAGGTGGATCAGGGTCCATGCGCTGAAAATCTGGAGAAAAGGTCTGTTACCAAACACTTGATCTGAATATTTCTTCACATAGGACAACCATGCATGCAACTTTGTGATTCTACTCAGGATGTCCATGCGCAAAAACATGGTCCACAAATGCGCATGCAGTTTCACAAGACAGGCCCACTGCATATAAACATGCAAGGCTGGCAAAGCAAGGTCAGCTCAGGGAAATTCCTCTAGATTGCGTTCAGCCATGGCTCTAACATATGGATCTCGATATATATGCAGGTGAAGACTTGTAATTGTTCTGTACAATAAAATCATATAAGATCGATAATGACAAAACCACCATGACTATATGATGTCTTTCAAGGCTCTTGAATGCACGTGATCCAATCATTTTTTGACTTTATCCAATCAGGTATGTTTGGATACCATGTTTTTTTCAAGCATTGCCATTTATTTATCACTTGCATAATCGATATATGAACATTAAAAACACCGTACATCAGTGAGTCCTGTCCACCATGTGCATGCATGCAAGTAATTACCTGCATGACCGATTGAGCGAAAAGTTCCACGACACGGGCCTTGCTGAAGGTGAACCCAGGTTGGGTGAGTTGTACATGGGTGCAGGGATCAAAAGACATATGTAAGGGGCAAAAAAAATATGCTATCGAATTTACAATCTATTTCCTGGGGAACTTCTCAAGGAGGCAAAAACTTATCCCAATCAGATTAACATCGTGATGAGCCTTCATCATATTTATGGGGACAGTGATTTGTTTGCATTTGTCATGACCCATGATGGGGTTCATACAGAATTTATGAATTAATGTTTGTATTGTACACCTTCATGCTATATAGATTCCTTTAGATTTGGTTTGATCTATATATATATGATATATTGATAATCATGACGTGGAATCACCAACACATGCTATATCCAGTCAATCCATGGTATTTGTCAACCAATATGAGATATAGTGTATTTCAGCTTTAAATGAACATATAGGGTTTCCAATATATATGGCTATATATATATGATTTTATGCATTACGGATATTTACGTCCAAGGATTTCCTGGACAACTATAGTCGTACAAAGAGCAAATGGTAAACTATTATGTTTATGGACAACTAAAGGTATCTCACTGTAGTAGCAGGTACCAACTACTATGACTACTATGTGACAAAGTGTCAAGATAAACAGCTTTATGCGTTTACCAGTCGTTTACCGTCTTGAAAGGTTGCTTGATGGCTTGGCCTCTCAGGAGTTTGTTCTTCAACTGGACACCTGCTGTCGACTCAGAAATTTGCGCAACACGGATAGACCTCCAACTTTTGCATCCCTATAAGCCCATGAATATCCCAGGTCTATATGAATCTTATGCATTTTCTCGCGATGAACATATCCCAGGTTCACTGGCTCCAGGGTCACATTTGCCCCTGTGCACCGACATGGATGGCTTCAGCTCAAGGCTTCACTTCTGAAGCACTTGGGTAAAATGATGTAAAATGTGCAAGAAATGCTTGACAAGGGAAATCGGCACAGGGCGAGGATCTGTGAAGTTAAGGCAGAACATAGTGTGTCACTCCTACAAAGCAATAACTTGATGGAACATAATGAGTGCAAAATGAGTGTCATTTGATTTTGGGATATGTGAGGGTACCTTATGCAGATGCCAGGCAAACTTGGTTTCACAGTCAAAAAGGTAAAGACGCAAAGCCCTCTTGCCATCCAGCCCAAGCCATGGCATTGAAGGATCTCACAATCGCATCAAAATCGCATGCCTTGCATTTTGAAAGGCTTGAAATCGGAGACTCCGGTATTGAAGTCTATGTGCAGGGCTTGGATTTGCGACAAGAAATACATGGCAGTTGGGGCGTAGACTCCAATGGAACTCGTGTATCATTGGTAGATATTGGTACATGTTGGTACATACTGGTACATATTAGTTTTGTATGTGTGTTCCTTTTTTCTGTGGGTCAACGATGGCCAAAGTTCTTGAATTTCGCTGTTTTGAGTCATGGACTGCTTTTGTTTCAGTTTGGCGACAAAAGCTCGTTGATCAAGGTTAGTCCATTGACATCAACGGTGGGACCATCAAGGCCAGCTTGCTGGATCGATCGTAGAAACATGTAGAAACGAGAACACAGCCCACGATGTCCAAGTTCTGCGCAGAAGCAAACAATTGGAACATATTGGAACTTGTTTGAAAATTTTAAGAAATGATCGGGGCAAAAGCAGCTTCTTTTCCAAAGTGTTCTTTTGTATAGATATGTACAGATAGTACAGGCTGGTCAAGGGGCAGAGCTCGGTTCTTACCGTGGCTTGCACAGGCAAGTTTCCGGAGAATTGCTGTGGTTTGTATCATGTCATATCATGTCACATGACAAGAGAGTAGAGAGGTGAATGAAAATGAAAAAAATAGCCAGATTGAACATGATTGAACTAGACAGTACTCAACACCCCACTTGTTGCAGGTTGTATTAGTGGTCTTTCAACAGCCCAGCTGGCCATAGCATGCGACGAGTCACCGAATGCTGTGCCTCTTGCCATCTCGCTTGACTCTGAGTTCTAGGTTCTTATATACTCGTGCTACGCAAAAAATGCGTCATGCGATTTGCAGCTGTACTGTGTGTGTGGCTGTGGTTGTGGCGGCCTTTTTGTGTTTCAACTCTGCCTCCAAGGCCCAACAGCACCAGCGCGGTTCAGCTGCAAGAAGGCTGGCTGGCAATGTGCCATCATTATGTCATGATATGTCACGTATGTCACCATTTCAAGGCCTTGGCACTCGGCAAGCATCGGCAAGGCACTGTTTCTGCCGCTTTCCAGGTTCACAAGGTTTCACAGCCAGCTTTGACACTCGCGGCTTGGGGAGCGGCCGTGTGAGACTCGAGCATAGAAGCAGCAAAGTGAGCAGCACGTGTAGCACGTGTCCTATTTTGTTGCTGATGCCGCGAATCTTTGAAGCCAAGCAGTCCACAGTGCTCCGATTTAAAGTTGTCAAGCTGATCAACGCAAGGTCAATATCAGGTATGCTTGGACTTAGATGGTGCTGGAACGCAATACCGAGTTGAATTCTCAAGAGTGGAGGGTGATAGAGACTGATACTGATAGCAATCAAGATGAATCAAAGATGAGTCAAAGATGAATCAAAGATGAATCAAAGATGAATCAAAGATGAAGCAAGGAACCCACGTGTCACGTGAGCATACATTGCATATACATTGCATGTACATTGCATACAGTGGCCAAAGGCTGGTGACTCCGGGATCTCTATGTACCTGACGGCTATTGCATCAATCAGTGGACTTCCGAGAGCTTTCGACAGATTGGTGAATGTATATTGACATCATTTGACACACTCAATGCGACTCATGGTGTGTCAACATGTCAATATAGTGTGTCAACAAAGAATGCCACGAAGACATGGGCTGCATTCACAAAACAAAACAGCGCTGTGCAAAGCAAGGCTTCGATGAAAGAGAAGAGTCTGAACCTTCACAGCTCGGGACCTCAACAGAAAGCCGTCCTGCCATGTCCTACCCTTCAATTCTTTTTCAGGCAATCACTGTAACAGGTGGACAAAAAGTATTTGTTCGATTTTCTTTGGGTGATGCTGGGCAGCTTGATTAAGGCCAAGAAGAGACGATGTTTGGCGCTGCTGCACACATCGAGGATGGGGGGAAACCTGATCAAAGCGGAATCAAAAAACGGAGATATCAATTTTTTAAGGTGCCGGCTGAAGTTAGAGTCCGCCATGCCACTGGGTCCAAAATCTTGAGATACTACTAGCAGGATTCTGGTTTCTACATCGATGTCGCTTGAGACCTCACTGTGCGGGAAGGCCATGTGAGTTTTGAGCCGAAGAATACAACAATGATAGGTTCCGATAGGTTCCTGCTGAATGATATTAGTGGACATCGATGTCATCACGGTTTGTGTCAGAGAACGGTCGCGGGGGTCTGCAACACAGGTTCGTTATGCTGAAGCGCACGTTGTGCCCGCTGTGAGGCCCTTGGCCAGATCTTCTTTAGCTATACTATATAAGCTTTCTGTAGTTTTCTGTGAGGAGGGCCACATTGGCCACAGAACTTGTCATGGACATTACTGCAAGTTTGTTTCCCCTGTCGTATCTTGTCATCAAAATGCAGTGGCGAAGGCTGTAGGTGAGATCTCTAATCTACCCATTAGGTTGGAGTTTCAAAGGGGCCAGGACTGGCCAAGAGTTGATTCTGTGCTTTGTTCATGTTTGTTCTACAGTGATTATTGAACCTTCATTTGTCTTCCTGATGAGCTCCATAATGCTGCCACCTGTGCAAGACACCCGGGAGATACTTGCGATGGATCAGGGCTGGCGCTGGCCCTTCCGACGAAAAGGAGCATTGTCGCCATGGCAGACATGAGACTGGATAGAGCAGTTGGGAGTTTTAGAAGGCGGCAAACCATCCTTGCTTTGAGTCATTGATTTGTATTGTGGGCTTACACAGGACAAGGTCGTGTCTGTTTGCACGCCCAGAAAACTACTAATTCGATACTGGAATGTAATCAGCTCCATCTAACATGGGGTTCTCGATCAAGCAGTCAGTTCTAAATTGAAAACTGCCAGGTTTTGGCGATTGAAGTGATGCATGAGGTGATTTGTTTTTGGATGTTGCAGAAAAGCGCGTGGAGGTTTGGTGTCCAACATGCTCGCTTCGCACCTTTACTTTGCCTGCTCAGCACGCCATCGAAACGTCATCAAACACGTCAAGCCACTCCTACCCGTCTATTTGTTTGGTCCGATCCCGTGCCCTAATGTTAACACACATGCAACACACATACAACATCATACAACGCACGTTCAACATGTTCAACTCACATCATGGCAGCAATGGCTCCAGAAGATTTGCGAGCAGCGCGCTCAGGTGTAGTGGGTATGGCACTGACCAACTCTCCAAGTAGGAACTAGCATGTTGGGATGTCAAAGTCAGGATGGGGTATTAAAATTATGCATTGACTCTGTGCTTGGTAAGTTTGTCGCCTGATTTTCACGAAAGCTAGCGGTAGCTAGTTCCCTGGAGCCGGCGGATTTATCAATTTCATCTCGGTGTGTCACCTATACAGCTTCTGCGGGAAGCAATTCCCAAAACCAATCGCTGCATTATCCTGGATTTTCGTTCCATGGACATGAATTGCACTTGACCAGATTTGCCACTGGATTTACTTGTGGCTGGGACTGTGGCTCAAGTGCTGGTTCAGAGCAGGAAAACCCTTTTGTTACTTGGGCCATGGCGCTTTTTCGTATGCTGGTGGTGGCCATCCTTGCGGAGGGCACGCCGCTTTGGGATGATAATTGCGATAGTTGTGAGGCAGGCTCGGCATTTTTGCAGTTGGAACTGTCAAAGGACAGGGCGCATGTGATTTCAAGTGACTTGCAGGCCTCAAGGTACTGGTTTCCGACCAAGTCCGTCGACAACAACCGCTCTGGTCAGTCCAGCGTGTCCGGACCCTTCCCCCTACATAAACCTGACACAGCGCATTGGGAACTCAATGTGCCTGGGGTCGTTTTCCACCAAGTGCCGATGATCGATGACAAATTGAACATTTACATGGGCAGCGACACGGGCAAGATCTTTTCTTTTGACAAATATGGTGCCAAGAGATGGGAGGCGAATGGCACCGGTACGCATTGTCAAGACCCTTCCCTTTTTGAGGGAATTCTGTATACTGCATGCAGAGATGGGTCAGTATTAGCCCTTGATATGATGACTGGCCAGCTCTTGTGGCAACGTAAAATCTGCAAGGAATTGCCATTTGAGCATTACAGTATTTCAGTGACGAAGGACCATATTTTTTTGCCGGCTGGAGTCAACCAGCACGGTGGCTATGTAAGTCCCTTTCATGAGCCACTCGATATTGGTTCCCCGGCTGTTGCCTTGCTGCGTCGCGAGGATGGCCGGCTCGTTTGGAGAGCGAACCTTTCTAAATGGAATGCAGTAACGCAAGAACTGACACCATGTATGCTGTCGGATTCAGTGATTTTCAGTGGGGGTATGGGAACCATTTTTCGCCTCAGCCTTCAAAACGGTTCTCTGATTTGGAAAGTTGATGTGGGCCCGAACCTGACCACCAGTGCGCAAGTCTCTTGCACTCAAGATGGAAAAGTGTTTGCAGGCTACGGTGGCTATAGCGGCAATGATGCCAACGACCGCCACGTTGGTGGTTTATACGCCCTCGACATTAAAACGGGCGACACGCTTTGGACAAGATCTTTCCCTTACAGGG